GAGCAGGGGCTGGGGGCTCACCCGGGCTGCGGCCGGAGGGGCGGGCGGGAAACCCGGAACTCGCGCGCTGAACTTCCCGCGCACTCGCTGCCAAGTGGGATGTTTTCTTTCTAATATTTTTTGAGAGTGTTTTTCTTGCCCCCGCCTCTCGCACACGTTTCCCACCCTCCTCGGACAGCTACGCGGAGGGGCGGGAGGCGGTCACTGGGGTGGAGAAAGCAGCCTAGGGGAGGGGCCCTAATAAACCCACCCGCCAGCCGGGCTTTGCACGGGACTAACTGGAGGAGCTTTCCCAAACCGGGATCAGGCTTGTCACTTCCTCGCTTAACACAACCTCCAATGGCTTCCTTTGACTCTTGGATGAGGTCCAATATCCGCACCTTGTTCTACAAAGTTCTGCAGGATTCTTGCCATATTCCAGCCTCAACTGCTGCTTGGTCCCCCTTACTCAACTCCATGACACATTCGCCTTTTTTTCAGGGCCAACTGTACAAAAATGTGTTCCTTAGAAATCACTTTAGATACTCTTTCCAGAGAAGTTTTCCCTAAACTACTTCTGAAAGTTTAGGTTTCCCTCTTAGAAACTTACACGACCTTATATTGTCGTACCGTTTGTCTAATTAAAATATATTGTACATTCCATGACAGAAGAGGTCATGCCCATTTTATTCCCAGGCCTAACTCAGGGACTTGCAGAAATGAGACGCGCGATATTTATTGAATGAATTGACCATGTGCAATAGATAAGATATTTAACCTGAGGCTAAATTTTCACACCCAGAGACCTGGAGATAGTGTCCCTTAACCTCAGAGAGTATGGTAAAGATTAAAAGAATTAATAGATTTGGAAATATCTAACACAATATCTGGCATGGAATAGGTTTTGAGTAACGATTTCATTTCCTCTGGCATTATTCCCTAACATCATTCCCATAAAACCTTAAAATCTGAATGGTAGTGCGTCTTAAGGAATGTTACCTGCAAAATTGAATTGGACAGATGGGTTTATATAAGGCTAGTTTAGTGCTTTTCAAAGTTTAATACACATAAAAATTACCTGGGTATCTTGTTTGAAAGCAGCTTATGATTCAGTAACTTAGAATGGACTGGAAATTGTAAATTTCTAAAAAGCTCCTGGGCGATGCAAATTCTGTTGATCTCTGAACTACACTCGGAGTATCAAGATTTTAAAGCTAATTGAGTCCCCGTAGTGGCATCGTTTCTAATGGAAGGACTAGAAAAATATATTTCTCTTTTAGAAGATAATGATACTCTAGTAAAATTCATTCTTAGTAATATGTAAAAAAAAAGCAAAATCCTAAAACTGGAGTTTGATTTTCACAATAAAATCAAAATTGCTTTTAACCTATCTAAAATTGAATAATGGGTCTATGATTCCTCCAAAAGGAATCCTGATTAATGGTTTTTATTTGTGAAATTTATTCTGATATTTGTTGCTCCTGTAGGATCATTTGTTCAAATAAAAAAATTAAGTAATTCTTTCTTTAACCATATCTTCTAGGCTGCAATTTACAAAAGGGAAAAAGACCACTGACACAATTAGTGGATACCATCGTGGACATCAGCAATATTCCAGCACATACTTAAAAATTTCAATGCTATTTGGCATTGTTTAAAATAAATAAAAGTGATCATCATATTGAAAATTATCAGATTTTTTAAAAAGAAAGTTCCTATATGTATATTTCCAGAGAATTTTGTCCCAGGACTTTTTATTTCTAGGAAATAAAGATCACATTAATTATTTGTACAACGATGATTCAGCTATAACAAGAGACCAAAATATTTCAAGAACTCACCAGTTTTTCATTTTACTTCTGTGTGATCTTCACTCAACATTTTGTGAAAAGTGAGGAAGAGTTTCCAAATTCAGAATTTATCCTATATTCTTGTCTCTAATCAACTCATGTGCAACAGGTCCAAACCTCGATTTGTTAAATGACCACCAATCATGCTCCTTCCTGTTTATTCTATTCATTATACTGTTTTTATTTTTATATTTTAACAAAGTAAGCATTTTTAAGTATCTATGATTCTTCCCTCTCCTTAATTCTCTAAATCTCATCTTTCTGTCAGTTGTGTTGATTCAATAATTTCTTAATTCGGCATGTCTTCTACATTTGCCCTTTTTTCCCCTTCCCATTGCCACTGCCTTTGCCTCATTTCCTTGTGCATGATTGCATCAGTTTTATTCATTCATCTTCTTTTGTCTATAGGCTAGTCTGTCTATATGCCAGTCCATCTTGTATTTTGCTACCAGAATAATTTTAGTAACAATTCTTTCATAAGATTTTAGTAAAAAAATAACAAATGACTTCTGAAACTTTGCAAAATCAATTTTATCCTAGCTACCTATATTTTCTGTCAAGCTAATCCCTCACTTGTTTTATATGCATATGCAGTTAATTCTTTTAAAAATATCCTTTCCCTATGATTATCCAAATTCTATCATCCTTCAGCCCAGTTTTCTCCAATAATTTTTTCTCTCAATAGTCCGGCTGACACTGATTACTTTCTCTTTTCTGAAACAATTTATTTAACATATGCATTGTATGTCTGTATCAAATTTTGGCATGAGTTCACTGGCTTTGATGGACCTTGATTTAAAATTGATATTGCCTATGATGTTAATTGTCTGATTCTTTCCTTAGCCAGTTGTTGCAGCTATGTGTATTGTTGACTTGCATGTCTTAATTCCTCAAATATTCTGAAAATATTTCAATTATGTGCCAACATTTTGCCACATTTTGAAATAAGTTGTAATTTTGTCCACCTATGTTATTTAGCTCAATTGCCTCTCAATGTACAAATTTGTTATGTGGGTGGCTCACAGAATTAAGAGGGAATAAGATACTATTTTGCTTAAATGGCAGGAAAACTGTCAGTGTTTCTATTCACTGATATTGATGTCAATGGAAGTCATTGCTTACCTTAGTATTTATTGTGAAGAAATGAATAAATAGCTTTTTGAGTATGGCAATGTATTTTAAAATAGAAATCTGTTGTGCTAATTAGACCAAAGTAGTTTCTGACATCCATGTGAATCATTGCTCTGATGTAGTCAACTATTAATAAAATTTTTCTTATTTTTGTTCAAAATAGTCTTTATTGGCTTAATAGAAAGCAATTATATGAATGAAACTTGCTTTTACTATATTGTGAAGTTGCCACGTTCAATATTTACTCCAAAGTATAATATTGCATCTTTCAGATTATTTGGTTCACTCCCTCATGCATCTCCCTGAAGGGGAGACATTAAGTAACATGAGCATGCTGTTACCAGTGTAGAGTAGGTAATTACCTTCTCCCTGCCCTGTGCCAGGTCCATTTCTATAATTAGCTAAAAACATTTTATGATACAACAACTTTTCTTTTTTCACTATGCTCTCTTTCCAATTGCAATTCTTTTCTGATTTTTTTTTACCCAAATATAGTGTTAACTTCTTGAGAATGGGGTATATGATTTATATATCAGTGTTACCCTTTTCCATACAGAGCATATAGAAATGTCACAATAATTAAAGTTTGATTACTAGTGGATGTTGATCAAAGTTCAATTCAATCTAAAATATCGTTTTACCAGTAAAAATATTAGGCATTATAGAAATAAAACTGAATGAAGCATAGCATCTTTCCTCAAAAGTCTCATGGCTCTTATTAGAAAAAGAAATTGAAACAACAATTTTAAAACAAGTATAAAATCAATGATCTAAAAATATATGATAGAAATCCAGCGCAGAAGATATATGAATAATTCTGCCTATCACGGTCAAAAAAGCCTTTGCAGAGATGATGGTACCGAAGGAGACTTGAATGTCTTTTTGTGAACTTTGGGTAAATTTAGGGATAAGTAATGTTGGTATCAACCATTATCCATTTAATATTGCTAGAATACGAAGTGTGAAGAAGCAAGTGGCAGGACTTGAGACTAGAGAAGACAAGGGCAATAAGCCAGAGTGCCTTGCCTGCTAGGCTATAGTATGGACTTCATTCTAAATGGAACTCTTGGAAAAATTGATCTAAGAAGTGATGTGTTTATATTACATTTCAGAAAGGTAATGTGAAGATAACGTGAGGGACATGGTGTCATGGAAACAGGAAGCAAGGATAATGTAAAGATGAATAATCACAAACCATTTTGAGTAGGAAAATGCATTTTAAAATAAAAATCTGTTATACTAATTAGACCAAAGTAGTTTCTGAAGTATCGTTGCTCTGATGTAGTCAACTATTAGTAAAATAGTTCTAGGCATTGCGAATATGGTGGTTACTAAGACACAATTGGTGGTAGAAAATATTTATTTAAAGTTCCAATCTGATTACCCTCAGATGGGTGCCCAAAAGCCCTTCATTTTGTAACTTTGCCCTCCCTACTTTGCTTGTACCCTCTCTCCTTGCTCCA